AGCAATTTCAGCTTCATCAACCAAAAAACCACTGCTGCCCACTGGGCTGGTATGAAGATCCTTCTGCTCCCCTCAAAAACATTAGGCAAAAACACTTACCTGTAAGTAAGTTCAATTGATCCTTTTGAATAACATACATAGGATTGCACATATTCTCTTTCCCCATGAATTAAAAAAAAGATACAATGCAAACTCTATTCCACAGAGGTTGAGATTTCATAGGACAAAATTTGGAGAGACTGGGGAGAATTGTGTAAATTATAAAATTATAAAATAGCAGTCATACAGAAGACAGTTGATATGTGGAATGTTTCCATATCCAAAATAAAGAATGTGCTGCATTTGAACCAAATGGAAAAGATCCAGAGTGTGACTGAAAGGGAAACCGCCTTGCTCTTCCACAGCTTCACTAGCAGAAATGTTACTGCAAAAAAAGCAATAGAAAACAGCTGACAAGCAAAATATGCAGCAATTAGATAATCTACCAAACATCACAACAAAATATGTGTGTTCAAGTAGCACCTGCCCATAGGTATCTATAACACATTGTAGCACCTTTGAAAGTAACTAAGAGAGAATTAGGTAGCATAGACTTTAGTAGGCTCAAGTCCTCGAGCCCATCTGCTCAGACCACAAGGCCAGGACGGTGAAGTCATTGAATTACAAGCATTCCTCAAACATTTAAACAGAGGCTGGATGGCCATCTGGCAGGGTGCTTTGAATGCAATTTTCCTGCTTCTTGGCAGGGGGTTGGACTGGATGGTCTCTTCCAACTCTATGATTTTAGAATGCTTAACATATGAAGTAGAAAAAGGCAAAACATGTACTCACTCATCTATTAAAGAGCAGAGTAAAAACAGAAAATGGCAGAATCCCATAAAACTCTCAATTGTGACCACTCAGTCATATATCATCAGTGAACTACAAGCTGTTCTGGACAATAATACTGCCCTCTCATGGGCTTTTGGTGGCAGACCTCCACCTTCCTACAAATAGTCTTCCTGTTCAAATAGTTACTTGCCTACAGGAGGACACGCAAAACAGATGGGAAGACAAATACAAGACCTTGCCACAAACACAGAAGCCAACTTTGGCCACACACTTACTTGGGAAATATAATTACTGGACCTAATCACATCATTCACAATATTAGAGGTGCTTTCACTTGCTTGTCCTCTAATCTTCCAACAATGCCTTCAGCACTCGACATTAGGTAAACAGGCCAATCTTTACAACAGAAGATAAATGGGGAAAAAACAGTTGTTAGGGGAATACACAAGAAACAATTGCAGAAACAAGTCTTTCTCGACATTGTATCTCAGACATCAAAATAGCACTCCTTACAAAAATAAATAAAAAACTTTAAAGGGAGTTTGGAAAATTATATACACAAGAAGAATTAGAATATAGCCACACATTTCAGTCTGTTAGCAATGAGTTGAACAGAGACAATAGTTTCCTTGCACACTAAACATATTATATAACACTAGCTAACACACCAGCCCCATAAAGGCTCTCTTAGCCATTTTATCATGCCTCCTTTCTGATTTCTAGACCGCATCACACTACATTCCGATAAATCCCTACACCATTTTATAGATATAACAGAGACTTGCTAGGATGACTCCCATGATTGGAAGCTAACAATTGAGGATGTAATCTGTTCAAAAAGAATAGATGAGGGGGAGTAGCATTATCTGACAAAGGGAAACCAATATGAATAATAAAATTGGACCAGTAGAGAACATTAGGGAAAAAATAAATGGAGAAAGAAAACAACATTGTGATAGGCATTTTTGAGACAAATCTCAGAAATCTCCAAGACATGAGAACTGGTAGTTATGGGGAACTTCAACTATATCTGCTAGGAGACTTGCTCTGTAAACATAGGCTCTCCAATCAATGTGCCCTGCAGAGGAAGAAACAAAGGGATCAGCAGTCTTGGACTGGATCTGAACCACTAAGGAGGAGATGGAATCAAAGCTGTTGGTTCTTTAGAGGGGAATGACCATGTAGTACTAGAATACATTATTGTGGGACAGGTCAAAGAAGCATGTAGTTAAACACAAACCTTGATTTCAGGAGAGCTATTTTTTTAAAGCTCAAAGAAATACTGGGCAGATACATGTGTCCAGGGATGCTATAGGAAAAAGATGCCAAGCATCAGTAAAATTTCATGAAGAAGAGACTGCTAAAAAGTGCAATTAGAAACAATTCCATGGAAGAAGAAAAATGAAAAAAAAATTGACAAAGCCAATGTGGTATACAATGAACTTGAGGACGAAGTGAAAAGAAAAAAGAGGATTATTGAAAAATGGAAGGAAGAGCAAATCACCAAGGAAAAATACAGATATGTAGCCCAAGCTTGCAGGCATAGTGTAAGGAAAACTAAAGTTCAAAAGGACCTAAGACTAGCTAGACAAGCATAGAACAACAAAAGTGGGTTTTTCAAATATACAGTACTTAAAGTAAGACAATGACAAAATAAATGGTGGAACCATTGCTAAGCATCAATGAAATCTATCAAGAAATGGGAAAAGGTCAACAGATTATAACAAAAAGGCAAATACTCAGTTCCTACTTTCTTTTAATTTATCCCAAAAAAGAGAGGCTTATGTGCTTCCAACAATCAGTAAAAACTTGGGACAACAAGATTGATAAGGAGTTGGAAATTAACTAAATCAATTTGTATCTGCAGAGTCAGATGAGCTGCATCCCAGAGTATTTAAGGAACTTGTTGACATACTTGTAGAACCACTTGCCATCATTTTTTGAAGCACTGTATTCAGTTCTAGGAGTCTCGTTTTAAGAAAGTAGGAGTGAGTTCAATGAAAAAAACAAAAGAATTGGTGAAGAGAAGGTTGATGGCTGCTCTCTTTAAAAACATGAAAGATTGCCACAAAGAGGAGGCTGCATGCTCTGCTGCTTCAGAAGGTAGAATTAGGTCTAGCAGTTTTAAATTGCACCAAGATCACCTTCTCTGGATGTCTGCAAAAAGAGGTTGGACAGCTACTTTGCTGGGGATGCTCCAGCAGGAGATGTTGCAGCGGGTGGGACCTGATGGCCTGAAGCCTCCTTTCCAGCTCTGTGTTTCTGCGATTCTATGGTTATCCACTCAACTTGGATTTAGGCAAAATCTTTTCACCCTGCTTTTTTTCTCCCAACAGTCATAGTTAAAACTGAAATTGCCTCCTCATCACCACACCCACAAGTTTTGCATTTCTCTTACTATTTACACATAAAACCAGCCATAAAGGTCTCTTCCTAGGCATTTAACTTCATGCATTTCATGAAGCTGACTTAAGTCTATGAAAGGTTGTGCTATTGACTTTCTCTCAGTTCATCTCAAAGGTGCTACAAGATCCCTTGCATTAAATTCCCATTAGTGTACTTACATGTACTGCTTCTCAATGCATTTCATTCACCCTTTTATGACCATGAGTAAATGTTAAATAGTGATGAGAACTTAGGAGTCATTGTCCAAAGCACAGGAAAAGGGTTGTAGGTAGATAAAGGAGTTCTCCCAAAGTACCAGGTGATTTGTACTTTTTCCTGTTTTTCACTACAGAGGGTCTTTAAATATATATATAAAATCATTGAACCTAAGCCAGGTGATACATTACCCCAGCACCATCTGCCTTTCCTTGAATCTAGTTAAAGCTTGCATTTCTGGGAAATAGGGCAATCCTGCATTTCACTGTTAGTCATTAAACTTTTTTTTGAATGACTAAGATATAATGAGGGACAGTCTTCAAATTAAGTTACATATTAAAGGATGGGTACCAACTATTGCATGAAGAAACCAACTGGTTTCCATTTGTGATGTAATACAAAAGCCTGGGGAGCTGGGCTTTAAAATCAGCCAAAGCATTGTTCAATAATTCAGCATCTTCCTAAATGGAGACATTTCCCACATGTCATATTTTTACTCAGTGAAGTCCACATTTGTTTCTTATTATAGTCTGCCCTCAAACTTTCACTTCTGTTGTGAGCACATCACAATTTCCCAGTACTTAACAAGTCCAACCTTTCTTTAGATATAGTTGCCTAGGTAGCATATTCACTCATCCTCCACTTATCATGTGATACGTTTTAGTGAAAAATAGCAGTCTTACTTTACTCACTATAATAAGAATTATTATTATAGTATTATTATTATTTGAAACATAACAAGATTAGTAATTAGAAAACAAGATCATCATGCAGGCTCTTGTATTGGATCACACATCGGACATTTCCCAAGTGTCTAAGACTATGTGATGTATCTGTGACTAATGCATGCAGATCCGAGTAGGGTGGCCTTTTGCAGCTGATAGATGGTAATTTTGTCAGCGCCAATTGTGTTTAAGTGCAGGCCAAGATCTTTAGGCACTGCACCCAGTGTGCCAATCACCACTGAGACCACCTTTACTGGCTTGTGCCCAAGTCTTTGAGTATATTATCATTATTATTATTATTATTATTACTATTATTTCTATTTCTTACCCGCCTCTCCTCGTGGGTCGAAGCAGGTTACAACATAGCTAAAAACAAACAATCATCATAAACATTATAAAAAGGACACATATTGAAACATATGTATAGAAAATACATATTTTAAAATAGAACAAAGATTAACATACGGTGAACACAAAACACAAGTTTAAAATTCATGATTAAATTTGGCTTTACAACTTCAATTCCCCCTTTAAAAAAAGCAAAACATCACAACTGTTACAGTTTGGGTTTCTTCCAATATTTTCTGTGTTGATGTTGGAAGAAAGATTGTGAAGTGTTGCACAGCCATCCCTTATCACAAGACTGTTTCCCTCCATAGCTACCAAATTTGAAGGTTGCTTACCTTGAAAGGGACTTTCAGAAGTATACAAAGGTTAAGAGGTCCTTTTAGGGCAAACCTTTTCACTGAATATATGTAGACATAAGTGAAGGCAGGAAAAACAGTCTCTATTTGCAATATAAATTAAGCTTTTGACACTCATTCGTTTTTTCATTTGCTTTAGGGCCCCCTTGGATTGGATGGCAAGCCAGTAAGTAGTGCTCAAAGTTACAAATCTATATTGCTAACTTGTATTTTATTATACTTGTATGCGGAACACATCATGCGATGTGCGGGGCTTGATGAAAGCAAGGCTGGGGTGAAAATTGCTGGAAGAAACATTAACAACCTCAGATATGCAGATGACACCACTCTGATGGCCGAAAGCGAGGCGGAGCTGAGGAGCCTTCTAATCAAGGTGAAAGAAGAAAGCGCAAAAGCCGGGTTGCAGCTAAACATCAAAAAAACCAAGATTATGGCAACAAGAATGATTGACAAGTGGGAAATAGAGGGAGAAAATGTGGAGGCCGTGACAGACTTTGTATTTCTAGGCGCAAAGATTACTGCAGATGCAGACTGTAGCCAGGAAATCAGAAGATGCTTACTTCTTGGGAGGAGAGCAATGTCCAGTCTTGATAAAATAGTAAAGAGTAGAGACATCAGACTGGCAACAAAGATCCGCCTAGTCAAAGCCATGGTATTCCCTGTAGTAACCTACGGATGTGAGAGCTGGACCTTAGGGAAGGCTGAGCGAAGGAAGATCGATGCTTTTGAGCTGTGGTGCTGGAGGAAAGTTCGGAGAGTGCCTTGGACTGCGAGAAGATCCAACCAGTCCATCCTCCAGGAAATAAAGCCCGACTGCTCATTGGAGGGAAGGATACTAGAGACAAAGTTGAAGTACTTTGGCCACATCATGAGGAGACAGCAAAGCCTAGAGAAGACAATTATGCTGGGGAAAGTGGAAGGTAAAAGGAAGAGGGGCCGACCAAGGGCAAGATGGATGGATGGCATCCTTGAAGTGACTGGACTGACCTTGAAGGAGCTGGGGGTGGTGACGGCCGACCGGGAGCTCTGGCGTGGGCTGGTCCATGAGGTCACGAAGAGTCGGAGACGACTGAATGAATGAACAACAACAACAACATTTTATTATACCACAGAAAATAAGAAAATAAAACTGTCAATATTCCTCTAGAGTTAGGTAGGTTGTATTCTTAAGAAAGAGAGATTAGCAAGCTCACAGATGTGCACAAAAATATTTTGGGGGGAAAATTGAAGACCTCAAAACAAGTGTAAACAGGATTATAAATGCTAATTGGGAGTGGAATCTTGGCTGACTATTGATGAGACTGGGAATGGAAAATCAGACACAAAGAATGAAACAATATGTCTGGAAATATCAGCAGGAGCACTAATAGTAGATTCAGTTCTCACAATGGAAATTATTATGTAGCCAAAATGGTGCCATCCACATAGAAAATTGGGAAATATCATTCATGCAAGAAAAGCAAACAAAAAAATACCTTTGAGACATTCTGTGTTGCAAAGGAAGAAACTAAAAAAAATTAAGTTCATCCATATGGTTGATTTATTAGTTACAACTGAATTCAGTTTGCTTGAAAACTACCTGAGAATCAGATTGCTTTCCCATAGAGGAAGCAAACTGGAACCAGATATGGTTAATAGCAGTCGTTTAAAAACACCTCTGCAACCCTCAGGAAAAGAGTCATCATGGTAATATTTAGCTGTGTTATATACTAAGGAAACTGTATCTTATGATGAGCATGTGGCTCCCCACAATAGTGGTGTGAGTATACAGTGAGAAAGGCAAAGTATATTTGTTATGGAATGGGCCAAAGGTTCGGATCTCCTTTCTCAAAGTGGCACCCCAAACCCATTGCTGGCACTTTTGGTAATATACAAGCACCAGTATTCTGCAGATGTTTGCTAGATTTATTTTGATGGCCAGACAACCTGGAGATTGTTCATTCTGAGAAAACAGTGGATGGTTTCCCAATACAAGAACTAATTTGGTAGACTGTAGGGCACGGACTTATGACAAAGTCTGGCTCATCATAGCAGCTTTTGAAGTATCTCCATATGGGGCTGCTTCCTTATATGGAACCGACTTTTCCTATTTGATGATACTGGAAGAAGTAAGAGTAAGCAAGGTATTATAGGAAAGGATAAAAACATGGAGGAAAGATGTTTTAATGTTGTTGACATCAAAGTAATTGAGTAGGCCACACTAGCCTTACTCAGAAAAAAGAGCAGAGGGAAACAACATCAAAGCATTTGAATGTGATTTTCCTGCTTCTTGACAGAGGGTTGGACTGGATGGCCCACGAGATCTCTTCCAACTCTAGGATTTTATGATTCTTTTATTCACCCTCAACTTCTAGCCCCAAAACAACAAAAACGGGGGACTTCTTCACTTGGTAGCTGCAGTAAGCTTTTTCTGTTGAGTCTTTTCAGTGACTTGTGATGGGAATTCCCACATGTATGTATATTTGGATTAAAGAGCAGGTAACATCAGAACAACAAAGCCCATTCCAAGAGTTGCAACAGTTCTTCCATGATATTAGTTGTCATTCAAATAGTCAACCTGCCACTTCAAATATCAGATACAAATGAAAGGTGCAAATGGTTCCTCTTATCATTACAAACAATCCACTTGATTAAAGGTGCCAAAAGAGCATAAGCAAAACTGAGCAAATTAATGATAAACATGTTTCCTCCTTTCTTCTTAATCTCTGCAGGGTCTTCCAGGACCCAAGGGGGACAAGGTAAGTTTATTCACTCAAAACATTGCCTTCAAATATTTTATGGATGATTTCTGGCTGTTGTAGTGAGGATTTTCAATCATGTAAATGAAATCAAAATAACTGTATGTAAAAGTATAATGATTAACACTTTGAGCATAACTGCAATAATTTGACTTTACTAAGACATTTTATAAAAAATGCTCTTCCATAGTTCCTCAAAGAGACAATTTTCAAACTACATTATGTGGATCTACACTGACCATATAATTCAGTCCAAACTGCATTATTTGGCAGTGTAGATCCAGCCTCAGTGGTGATGGCACTTCATAGTAATAATTTAATTAGAACAGCATCAATAAAAAGTAAAAAAATTATTACATTTCCAGGCAGAAAGATAATCAATTCTTATTTTCCCCTTAATGTTCTGTCTAAACTGCACTATGGCTATCTCCTTGACCATGCAAAACTTTAATCTACAATTATTCAATTTCTATAACGAAAAGTACATCTTCACTGTAGAATGTATACAATTTGACACCACTTTAACTGTCTTTGCAGGAAAATGAAATTATGTTTTTTTTTTCTTTTTTATAGGGTGATCAAGGAGACATTGGCCCACGGGTAAGTGTCATTAATTAGGAATATTTTGAACCCACATAGATATTTAGTAGTACTGAGCACAGAAATGAAAAATGAAACTTATGTGCATAAATCATAACTTTAAAAAATCCAATCCTTTTCCCAAAGATCAATTTTTGAAGAAAATATTAAAAAATAATATTAAAAAACTAGATGAGTAGATTTTATCCAAAGGTGGCTTAGGCAGCAATCCTGTGTGCATTTCTCTGGAAAATCTTATTGAAATCAGTTGGATAGAGTTGGAGGTGATTGCATTGTTGACTCCTTAGTTCTTTCCTCAACTGTAATCAAGTTTAAGTCCATGTAACTGCATTTGATCATATTCATCTTAATTCTTCTCTCTTCATCCACTTTCTCTGGAGCCTGTCTTTGTGTTAGTTTACAGAGCTTTTTAATGATGTACAGTAATGTTACTTTTTAAAAAAAAATAACAATTATGTATATGAGAATCAAAATGTATATAAATTGATAATTTTAAGGCACAGAAGAAACATCAAGCAATGACAAAATTGATTATGATTTCATTTAATCTTTTCTTTTCTTGGTATTTACCCATCTGGATGATTATGTCATTTAACTATAAAACATGTAATGAATTTTTCCCAAAGCAGTATAAAACTTGCATATAGACATCTGAATTCTGACTGATTTTTATTGAGTGTAATTTTACTGGAATGGGATTGAGTTCAATAGAAAGAGATACATGTTTCTGCCTATAGTGAACAAGAACATCTATTTTAATTATTTCTAGGTGAAACTTTATTTGTTTCCCCAGCTACCCCATCCTACAGGCATTTGCAATGAGTGTTATTGTGTCTTTGTATGTATTTATATGAGAAACAAGCACTGGGAGATACAATATCCTAGTGGGTTTTGTAAAATAAAAAAAATGATGAGGTGTTTCGAAAATTACTTCATAGTATACTACTTTTAATCCTGACAGCAGTGAAGTAATAAATAGGGCCAGAACCACTGTCATAACAACTCTGGGATTTAAAAACTGGGAGCAGAGAGGGAGCGGGCTGGGGAGGTTTGTAATGTTGAATATAGACTTCTTGTACAATTCTGAAGACCTAAACTTTAATTTACAAATTGAGTCTCCTTATCTGGAAATCCCAAAACTGAAACCTTTGGCCACCAGCTGCCCATTTCTGCCTTCGGGAAAGGGAGGTCATCATACATCTGGTGCCCACTGAGTTTTCCTCAAGGAGCATTGATGGGGGGTAAGGAAAAGAAGGAAGGCGAAGACTCAACTTACATACGGTTCCACTCAAAAGCAGAGATCCCAGGCACTTCTACGCTCATCTTGGTGGGGTGGTTGCCTTGGAAATGGTTATGAGGGTGAACACAGTGCAACCTCTTTGACCACCACCTGCATCCATCCCAGAGAGAAGAGAAAAAACTCACAGATGTAAGAGGAAAATTGTGTGCAGACAGTCAGGGAAATGTTCAATAAGTATGCTTTTCCCAGGGCTTTGTGTAAGTGGAGAGTGAAATCCTCTTCCCCATGTCCCACATTTCCAAAAGCCAGGAGAATATCTGAATTCTGGTCTAGGATTTGGGCTATCCATTGGTATTGGACCTATGAAAACTGTTGGGTCAGTTCCAGAATGGAACCAGCTGCCACTATAAACATTGTCATCTCATGTTTCCTTGGCTAGAGTGGCCTGGAGAAACAAGATGACAGTCTCCTTCCCACCCATTCACATCAGTCTCCACCTGCAACATATGCCCTACTTGTTAGCTGTTGTATGCAGTGACTTTGGCCAAAGTGATAGGGTCCTCTAAGAAAGGAGGGAGATTCCTTCTCTCCACTTTCCCTTGGCACTCCATTATCCCGGCCAAAGTAACTGCACACAATGGCCAATAGATAGAACCCATCTCATAGCCAAAACCTAAGATGGGGACAGGAAGCATGGCCACACAGTGGTGCTGAACCACATTTTGTACCACTGGGCAGTGGGAACTCCTTCCCACTTCTACAGCAGAGCTGGGGAACTTCCTATGTGGCCAATACCCAAGGCTGATTCTGCATAGGACATGCCAGATTGGCCCTGGAGTATCAGTGAGTATGGATCCAGGCATGGTGAATATTTATGAGATAGAAGTACTGGCACCAACCAGATTGTCTAGAACAGTTGTTCTCAACCTGTGGTTCCCCAGATGTTTTGGCCTCCAACTCCCAGACATCCTAACAGTAGGCCAAAATGCCTGGGCACCCGCAGGTTGAGAACTGGTCTAGAATATAAGAGAACCAAGATTTCACAGCTTAGAACTCACTAAAAATAATTCAGAAACAGTCATTCCCAGATTAACATGTTTAACTCAAAGGATTTACATAGTACATAAGTTTGCTCCGACTGATTTCAAGAACATTTTGGTTACATCATTTATAAGGTTATTGGGTGCACTCCATTAAATAAATATTCTCCTTTCTGTGATCACTTTAATTCAACATAATTTTGAGGGAAATGGACACATACAGACACCTATTATGCAGTTATGACACAGACTACTGTGAAATATCTTCCCACTATCATTATTTTATATAATGGTCCTACTGTTGCAATACCCTGTCTAAATTATATCTGAAAGCACATCATAAAAGATGTTTAGGAGGCTTTTGGCAGTCCTACAATAATGATCCACAAAGTGCCCAAGTAGGAAATTTTGTGGAAGTTTATGGAAAAGTCCATTTCATTGTAAGTTCATGCAACAATATCATACATTAAATAAGAGTAACAAAAGGGGTTTAGCGATTGCGGGCACCCGATCTCTCCCACAAAGGGAGGTGTTGCCGCAATATGTCAAACATAAATAGTAGAATCTTCATTATCAAGAAAGTGAATTTTTAATTAAGGGAAATAATGCAAGCAGTTCCCAGATGTTGTGAATTTTACATTAAAGAGGCTTGCATTGTGAAATATTCATATTGTTCAATGTCTACAGTTTTTTTAAATGTGTTGAATCCCTTGAGAAAACGAAGAATTGGTTGTTCAGCAAATTATAGTGCCAACAGTTTGATTCTCTCTTCTCTTTCTCTTTCACACACACACTCATTTATGTCTGGATTTTGGGGACATTTCTTTGGCGCCTTAGTCCTCTGCTTCTCTCTTCTAGTCCCAGGGACATTTTTCCTGTGTCACCATCTGGCCTGAATTATTTTTACTTCCTGAAATTGGGCAGTATCTTAGTCTCAGCAGCAGATTTTATTTCCTAAAGTTTGTTTTCTGGCTTGGAGTGGAAGGATGCTTTATTTCAGATTTTAGGTAGTGACAGTAAATGGGCAATCATTAACAGCTGTTAATGCTCCTGAAAGAACTAGTTTTCTAAAGAGATCACTTTGGGGGAAATGGGTAATTATTTAATTAAAAAAAGATATTTTGTAATTTTCTCTGAGCACATCATGATCTGAATGTGCTAGTAATGGAGGAGTTGATCTGTTCTGTTAAATCAAACTTTGTTGTGAAAAATTAGTGTGCCAAAATGTCCCAGTGCAATATTTTAGCTACAAAATTTCAGTGCTAATTTTCCTTCTTTTTCTTTAAACTGGAATAGTGATGTTTAGATTAGGCCAGTACATGTTTCATGTTCATTCATGGAAGTAAAGTGAAAACAAAAATACTTGGGTTTCTCAATGAACAAAGGGACTGTTTCTTGTTTTTTCCAATAATATATTTTATTGATGCTGATAATAAAGAAAAGCTGGACTGGATTAGGATAAAGGATGTTAAGATTTTGCTAGAATTGGTTAGATCGTCTTATGGAACTTAATTCTTTCTGGAACATACAACATTTGTATGGAAATGAATGTGTGCAGAGCTTGGAATCATTACTTTTTGCACTACAGTCCCTAAAAGGTAATCTTGAAGTTCAGACAGAAACGTATTAATATTTATGGAACTTTGATAAGTGTCAGAATGTATCTTGTTGCTGATGATATAAAAATCATGTTTCTACATACATTCATGGAACAGCAAGACTGAATAATAAGTGTACAATTCATCATGTATAAGTACAGTACACTTAATGAAAGTGCAGGAAATGGGAATACTATACAGCTTAAGTATAAAATCCAATAAAATGTCATTGTTGCCTATATGTAAAATCAAATTGAGCTGATACTTACTAGGAAATAAAATATGTCTATACTGTAGATAAAAATTCTGTGAAATGTTTGTCGTATCAAACCATGTATTTCTAACAAGTGAACAATGTGTTGAGTACTTTTTACTAATGAGATGCCTCCACCCAGCAAGCAGATGTTGACATCACCATGTTAGTTTTGATCAGAACAAGAACCAAATGAAACTCCAGGCAGGGTTTGAAATGCTGCCAAATGCTGCTGTCAAAGTAGATAGGAGTGAGGTGTGGAAAGAGGCCAAATCCAACATGTTAATCCACCCAATTCAATTACTTAATTAATGACCATTGCGCTTGTCCTGGTGGAGCCTTGAGTACAGACATTGTTTCTCAATTGATTCACAAATAGACAGACTTTAGAGAGAGGTAGGCTGATAGATACATAGAGGTAGATAGGTAAGACAGATAGTGCTACCTTTTTGCTAGCAGTTATATCAAAACAAAATTTAGATTGGAATTTTAATATGTTCTTAAACTCTCTCTGAACCATTTGGAGACTGAAACAGTCTACATTCGATCCAATTAAATTTGCCTCCAGACAGTATTTAGAGAATGAGGTTGTAAGAAGATATCATCTATGCTGCATATACCTTAAGCTGCTTGTCACTTTATAGATATCCCCAACCAATTCCATGCAAGCTGTTATCAATTCTTCCATGGCAGTACATATGATGATGTCATCTTTATATCAAAAGGAAGCAGCAAAGCTCTGGGTGCAAAATTTTATGCTTCTGCTTCATATTCTATATCTAGCTTGCTTGGACTTGATGGCTGAATCACTTAACTCCAAGTGAATCATATTTCATTCAGTGGTAATAACTTTTAAGTGAATGGATATA